TCGACGCGTACTGGTGAGGTGAACCATGACCGAATTGGGCCCAGTCATGAGCTCAATAGCCATGTCCTTCCAGGCAGTTGTCGAGCCCGAATCGACGTCACCCGCCCAGCCGACATGGCAGGTTGCGCCCTGGTTGAATGTGTCGCCTGGGCCAGGCTCATTGGGCTCCACTTTCGCATGGGAACACAGGACAGCGCTTGAAGCAAGAACACCAGCGAAAACGATGGACGTGAACATTTTAGGAAACTGGGAAACGCGGTAAGAAAACCAAGAAGTGGGAGAAAAGGGAAGGAAAATCGAGCTACCTTTGGGTCGGTACTTAAGGAGCGTCAGGGTAGAGCGAGGGGTGGAGGCGATCCTAAGACAAGGGAGGGAGAAACGAGGGGAATATGTCACAACACTGGATCAGATAGAAATCTCGCCTGTCACACATTTCTAAGTCCGACTGATTGCGGTCTCTTCAAATTTCACCGAACGGCGCTCACAGCCAACGGGAGGCGAACAACCGTCCGCGTTTTCACTTGTGGAAAGAAAACAAAAAGTTTGAACGAGGCGATGTCTAGCAGGGCCTTCGTGTAATGATATTCTGTGTGCAAGAGCAGTCGTCCGAAAAATGAAACGGAATGGCAAGCGCCCACCAGCGCCCACCTTGATAAATATCGCCGCGTGTTTCCCAGGTCATGACTCGGATTGAATTGAATCCTACTCCTCGAAGCGATGTATCTGCAGATGTATAAGTAGGGAACCAAAAAAAAAAGTGACAGCGCGGAAACCAATCTCGTCAGCTAATCGAATCCATTCAGTGAGTATTCGTCTCGCCCAGGGTCGACGGGAATGTCGGGGTGCCACAGCACAAAAGACGAAAACTGCGCGGTGGGCATCAACGTCCGTGCATTCTTTTGATCATCTTCCCCAGTTTCTTCGTCTCCATCCATCTCGTCGTCGTTGTCGTCGTCGCGCATTGCACTCCGTGTAGCCCGACCTACTCTGTTCCCACGCGCCTTGGCGGCTTTCGTTCCTTGCTTGAGCTTCGTTTTGAGCGCACTGGTTTTACCCGTTCCCGCAGCACTGTCTCCGGCCACAATAACCCCCGCATACCCGGCTGGCAACTCGACCTTCAGGCCTAGCATAGTCCTTCCACGAAAAGTCGCAATAAAACGCGTCGTCGCGTCCGTAACGCGTTTCGAGAGGGTATCGTTTACTGGTAGCGCGGGGAGGGCAGTCTGCACGTCGGGGGAATGTCCTAACGGCTCCTCAGAATCAACGACCATTTCAGATTCCTGGGCCGAAGCCGTAGCAGAGGGCGGTGGTGTGGCGACATGCACTGCGTTCCGACCGGTCCTAAACATCGCCTAACCAGACCTAAACATAGGGCTAGCCGGAGCTAAACATAGCCTGGCTAGCTTCGCTTAGCTCTGCATAGCCTGTGTCTAGGTCACCTAGTGTCACCCAGCAACAACTAGACATCGGCTATCAACAGCTAGACACACGGACTAAGCGAAGCTGGCCATTTCTGTGGTTAGGGCCGGTCGGAACGCAGTGATGTTCGCTAGCAGCTTCGACCAGGAAGTAGGTCGAAATGGGGGCGGGACCATTGTGGTCGACATGAAAGGGCATAAGATTCGGAGAGGCTTTTGGAAGAGACGCCAAATCGGAGATGGGAGCTATGCTCAGCATCGGTGCAGCCATATTGTCGTGGTACGTTTGAAGCAGGCTGTTTTTACGCCAGTCACGATCACGAGGATTCAGTCACACCGCGCTTCAAATAATGCTGCATTCACAAATACACGGATATCTATACAGCTAGCCCTTCACCAAAGTTCTCCATTGATGCATCGCAAACATCGAAAACAGCTCGGTTCGCAGCCATCTCGAGGTCCTTGGCCGATCGGGCCATTTTCCTTTCCGCGCCTCGAGTATGCAGAGCTTCGATTTCCAACTGCTTTTAATTTTTCCTGTGCATACAAAATGAGTTTGTGGAGGAATTTATTTATCCGAGACCGGCACCGTCTGAGCTTCTAATTGAAGATGGAAAACGCTGCAGGAGGCGGAGGTGCATCCTTTGGGTCTGAAAAGTGTCAAGACTCACGAAAAGAGTGAACTTCAGAATTTCCAGCTCTACAGTTTGGAGCTTATCTTTGTCTCCATTTATCAACCAAGTTGTGCCAACGGAAGTGAGAAAACCCACAAGAAAAGAAACCAAAAAAGACCTTACAGAAGTATCAGCCGACGAATCGAACGGGGGCCTTGTGCGCAGGACTGGTAAGATTGTGTGATTGTGAACACATGCAGGCAATATGCTGCCGGATGTCCCGTACCCTTGTGGGTTCGAATTTATGGTAGCTAATCTGGGTGGTGAACACGGGAGAAATTCGTAGAACTAAGATATGGAAGGAGGCTGCCCGCCGGTTGGTTGGGATGGACGTAGGAATGTTGAACCGCAAAAAGATTCAAAATTGCGGGGTTTTGTACTTCTACAGGATGTTATGGAGCTTGTCAATGAGCACTACCAGGTGTTCTTCCACATAGCGAGGGGGTTGCGTTTAGATGAGCGAAGTTGAATTGTTGGAATCCGTCCTAACCAAATAAATGCGAGCCTCGCGTCATAAAAACAGCGAGAAAATGGGTCCGGGCTCTGGCGTTCGTGTGGTTGAAAGAATTGAGCGGGAGGTCCAAAATTGCTCCAAAAAGGCCTTGTGCCATATAGGAACCGGGCGTTGAAAGATTGACAAAGAAAATGCGAGCCTCGGATTAGGAAGTGGTGTTTACCGGCGGCGCAATATCAAACCCTCCCTGGTTAGGTTGAAAAGATTCAAGCGGGTAAATTATAATAAATTGTAAGAAAATCCCCAACCTCGAATAGTTGCAGGTTGCGCACACTGTGTGCTCCCAGATGCCATTGTTGCTGGCTCCGTTGCTATAAGTGAGTTGCAAATTAGACGATCAAAAAAGAACTGCAATAAAATTGCCAGGTCGAGCGGAGTAAAAAAAGAGGAAGGGGTTGTCTTCAATCTTTAGTGGCCCAGTGACCCGGAATCGAACCGAGACCTTCTGTGCCGGATAATCAAATCCTCATAAGTCCTGCAGCCGGCCTGCAGACGCACACTCGGTGCTACCAGGACGTCCTTTCAAGCAGTTCACCTGGACTGAAGTGAGAGTCCAGCAGCATGTAAAAGTTCCAGTGCGAGCGCCGAGCAGCACCGGATTGATCCCACAATGTACATCCTCTTCAGCTCGTCGTCGCCGCCGATGCTCGCGCCCTAGCGCACTCGCGGTGATCCCGCCGACGAAGTTCGTGCGACTTCCCGTGCCCATCGCCAAGCCTGCCAGGCGGCTTTCTTCAATGCTCAAGGCCTCAAGATCCTCCCGGATAGTGAGGTGCGCACCTTCCTTCTTTGCCTTTAACATCGAGTAACTTCCGATTGATGCACGAATCCAGCACGCCACGGTGCTAAATCCTCGGCGTGGAATGCACACATGTGCGCTCGATCTAAGTCGCCGTTAGTACCATCTTCAGGTATGTCCTCGCTTCCTAGTCTCGCCTCACTCCTTCCTGGCACAGCATGTTTTGCCACCATCCGCTCGACTCCGTATGCGTTTCCTCTGAGGCTCTGCGTTCGCTTTCCCGTCGTCTCGCCTACCCACCGGCGTATTCCGCCTGCCCCTCCGGCCTGCGGCTTATGTGGCCTACCTACTCTCGCCCGCGTCTCAGCATGCGCCTGCGTCCGTCATCGAACATTCCGCTGCGTCTCCGCGTCTCCGCGCCTCGACGTGCGTCTCCCGGCGTCCCGCCTGGCGCCCCGACCCATTGAGCATCGCTGCTCCGCGCCCCTGCACCCCGTTTCATATGCCTGATGCATATCTACGCCTGCCCCCGCACGCGTCTCGCCCTCCGCGGGGTGCCGATCCCGCATCCTTGACGCCGAATACACCTCAATCGCGCGCCGGCCCTTCCGCACGAGAGGGGTTTGGCCTCTGTACGCCTCGATGTGTGCTTGTTTCCCATCGATGCGTGCGCTTGTTTCCTCCGCATTTTTGAATTCTTTCGTCTATCACATCTTGCTCTTGATTCTCTGTTCCCCTTTTCCGTGCTCCTGCCGCCCGTCGCGTCCTGCTTGCCGCCCTCTGCTGCTTTCATTCGTGCCACCTCAAACTCCTTTTTATTCTCTTCTTTCGATTCAGCAATTCACGGGCTATTTTCAATCTCTCACTCAGCCGCGCACGCCCTCTACATGTTCTCCTTTGTGCGTTCTCTTCACTGTATCTTCTTGTCTCATCTCCACACTTTGCGCCTCCGTCTTCTTCCTCAACGAGAACTTGAGTTTTGCGTGCGAGCGTACTTGCGACGGGAAGAGGATCAGGACTTGGGACGAAGAACGCAGACAGCAGATTATTGATCTATGCGATACGCTACTGTTGTACCCATGTACGTATCTCTGCGTCCCTACTTATATCTACCCCTGTCTTGGATTCGTGCTCGTAAATTCAATTCGAGGTGAACTGTGGCTTCGATATCGATTCGTGCCAAGAATTCATGGCAAGCATGCTGTGGCCGCGAGTGTTGGTGACCTTGCGTTGCATCCCTGGAACGACGCACCTGGTACCAAAAATATACATAACAGTCTTATCACCCGACCACGAATCGAACGGGAGCCTTCTAAGTTCTCCCTGCAACGACTTCATTAGGCCTCTGTGGGACAGATGCACAGTATGTGACAACGTCAGCTGGATTGATGCGAGTGAATTCAAATGGCAGAAAGCAAGAATCGGACCCGCCTCGGGAAGCGTCTAAGCGCAAGCACCTACATACGTGATGGGCCTTTCTGCGTACCATCTGAGGAAAATTGAACCACTAGCATGGCAAGACCCGACAAACGAGTGTGGTGCTATTGTGGGCTCGGGTGTTGCACTGCAGTGCAAATACGGATCCCTAGATTGCGTGCCTGAGAATATGTTATTTGCAGCAGATAAGTGGAACCAGAAAGAAAGGTCCAAGAAAATCAACCGACCCCGAATCGAACGAGGGCCTTCTGCTTGTAAACTTAGGGTTTTGAAAACGCCCTGAAAGCAGAGCAGATGCACACCGTGTGCTACCGGGTGGTCTTCCACCCAGTTTCGTTCCTCGATCTATGTGAGTGAATTTAAACTGCAAATGCAAGTAAGATCGAAAATGTGAACACCAAAGATGCAAACGTAAGATTATCAACTGAGGTCTTTGCAAGCAGAATTCAGAGATGCCGATTTGGCTTGGGAGAATTAAATGAAAACGGCAGTGGTAGATTGAGTGCAACATGTATCGACGCACCGTATGTTGTCGGGTGGTCTTGTATCATCTTGCCTCCTTGAATCTATGTCCTGCGTATGAACGAGGATTTATGTCAGGGAAAGTGGACTGTAGGCAAATAAATGGAACAAAGACACGGAACTTTGAGATAGCAAAGCTTGATCACCCGCATACCGAGCCACTTACGGCGGTTCACGCCAAAGTACTGAACTCAGAAAAGAACGAGGAATTCTTCATCACGCGGCCCCGAATTGAACGGGGCCTTCCGCTTCAGGATTTGACTTCAAAATCTTGGGCAGACGCACACCATATGCTACCGAGTGGTTGTATAACCTATGTGTTCCTTGACTTCATGCAAGCGAGAATAAATGCCTACACTGACCCGAGACGGTCCCGAGTTGATGACCCAGGAAGGAGGAATCAGATTAGCCAGCCCCAAAATACGTACGGGGTCGCTGGATGGGGGTATTCTCCTGTAGAGGTTGAGTGGGAAAGAGAGGGGGTGGTTGCGTCGCTTTGTATTCCGTTGCTGAAAAAGAATGAATGAGAAGGAGAGTGGGTAAGTTGAATCAAAAACGACCCCGGTGACACCAGACCCTGGATCGAATGGAGGCTTTCTGCTACTGTGAACTTGCTCTCGCCGCAATTTGCGCAGATGCACTATGGGTGGTCTCATGCCCCGTTGTAAGCTTGAATCCTTGTCAATGAATCTGAACTGGTGAGAGAAGAAGCAGGAAGGATATATAGTGGGGAGAATAGCAGTGCAATCTACGCAGGGAAGCTTGGTATGCAACTTGGCGAGAAGACGAATACAGAATGGGTTTACGTTTCGGTACGGATATCAAGTGGGAGTGTGATGCGACCTGCATCGATTGTCCGTGACGTCCGCGTCCTTGAGAGGTTTACGTGGACGAGGAGGCGCAGCGAGTAGCGTTGGCTCCGCGCAGCCTCCTCTGGTATCCCAGAGAGATAACGATGCTCGAGGTCGAGCATCGTTGGAAGGGAGGAGCGGCACGATACCGAAGTATCCGCGCTCCTCCTTGAACGTTGTAACCCTTCGTATGGCCCACTTGAGAAGCCAGGGAGGCAGTTGTACGCTTGCCCAGGCGAGTGGTGGGGGCCAGAAGGGATCGCGTTCGCGTCGCTCTCGGTGTCTCACGCGGGTGGGGACATGGAAGAGCAAAGCAAAAAGTAGATATCATATGTAATATACAGATTACTACATCAGGAAATCTGCAGTCGCGTGTTTGGGCCGAGTGGGGCTCATGATTTGATGGGATCTGGTTTTGATCAGGCATGTCGGCACCAGTCCTCACCAGCGCGTTGCCAGCTTTTGAGCTCCTCACAAGTATGTACCAGTCAAGTAGCGCATCGTGAGTGCTCGTGCACCATTATGAGTAGGTTGCCAGGCATCTCGCTCCTGCCAAAGATATTATTTTCCTGCGACGACAAGGCCGATTTCGGGGTCAGGATTTGAACCGAGGCAAGTGAAGATGAATTCGAAGTCAACAGAGGCAGCCTTGAGACAACCAGCGCTGGCAACCAAAGTGCCGCGCTTCAGCTAACGCATGGCACAAGAATGTGTCGCGCAATATGTCGGTGTTCAGGGAAGGTAGCCCCGCATTATGAATGTCCCGCGCTCCAAATGTCTTGGGATGGGAATAACAGGGAATTCTGAGGGAAGGCGACGCGACGCGACGTGCTGCGTTTATCCATCAAAGTCGGCACGTGTTGGGTCCGTGCGCAACTGCGGAGTTTGTTGATCGTTTGATGCATTATTGATAATGGTCGCCTCTTTTCTCCCGCCACCACCACCATCTCCTGAGTCTTTCTCTTCAATGTCGCCGATTCCCGTCATCCTCAACCCTGTTCTGGGATCCGCCTCCACCTCTTGCTCTGCATCAAGCCCGCTGTCAACATCGATCTCCATCTGCGGATTCTCGAGTCAATTCGTCAAGCATCAAATCTCAAGTCGTCAAGTTCAAGCTTTCAAGTCTCAAGTCGTCTGCTCCGGTCTCAAAACTTCCTTCAAGCTTACTTCAAGACATCTCCGAGATTCCCAAGTTGTGCCTTCGTTCGCTATGGCCGCTCTGCAACCCCCAGTCGCTGCGTGCAAGTCTGGTGCCCATCGCTCTGCCCAACAACCCCTCCCCCGTCCGGACGTGCTCGTCTGTTGGACCACACCTCCCAGCTCATGGCTCTCCCAACCCATTCACAACGTTGCGTGATGGAGCTGTTGTGTCGCGCTCGAGTATCGGGGTTGGCGATGTAACTTGCTGATACGTACATACATTGATAATATATTTCATTTTATTCATTCTTCCGAGCCCGACCTGAGTGCGAGCCCAATATTGGGTCCCAAGGGGAGCAGCCGAAGTGGGGGAGCTGCGGCGCATATGGTCATATATTGAGGTATCAGCACATAACAGCGCTTACAAGGCCCAGCAGAACGTATACGACTCGCCAGCTCTCGCCAGCTTGATGGCCAGCTCACCAGAATTTTGCATCGGCGCCCTCGGCGGTGAGGCCGTGATGAGTCAATATCAGGAATCTCATCAGATTTCGAGGCTGGTGTCGCTTGTGAGCCCTGATATGGCCAGATCAGCGGAGTGCATATTTCCTGATGTAATTACGGGCCCTCGGGCCTGCGACCCGTGCACTATGTATATACACATCGTCACAGGGAGGGACAGCGAGCAAGTTGACGCACAAAACCGCGTATCACCCGGCCCCCAATCACTCTGCGTGAGGATGAGGTGCGTTATTTAGCTTGATGAGATTCACACTGTGTACTACCGGTGCTGTTCTACCCTGTTTCATCCGTCAATTTATGTGAGTGAATTTGAACCACAAGTGGAGACTACGCAAGGAATATGAACCTTTGAATCGTGGAGTTCGCTACGTGGAGCCCCGCGTTGGGTTTGCTTCACTCTAATCTATGTTTAGCCGGAGGGGATCGAGTAAGCTGGACGAAAAAAAAAAAGCCGCGAAGGAGAGCGGGTACTATCAGTGACTAGGATCCTGGCCATTAGTCAAATATAGGACTCTGGGGTGTGAAATATGTCCCTTCACATTTTCACAATGGAATATGACCCATTGCGCATCTTGAGACCAAATTTCAACCCAAAGTGATAAGTTGATCCAAAGCTGTGCCCGGATTGATCGCGATCCGGAGGGTGAGAATATCAATTTGGTAACCCCGTGCGACTGTCTCCCTTATTTCTCGACCAATACGCAGTGGATCCGGAACTTTGGGGGCTCATTCTCCTGCTAGAACCTGGGGATTCCTTTTTGGTATGCAGTACCCAGCGGAAGACTCACCCTCCGTGGTCAAATTCACCAACACAATTGGAACAGAAACCCACCGATCGAACTTTTAAATTCGAGCTACGGAAGGACCTTTGAAGACTATGGTTCCAATGCCTTCGACTATCCATCCTGATAGGTAAGGCATCTATATCATCCATACTGCACTCCTTGAACACTTCCCCCTCCCTCCTGATGTGAGTACAGATAGAAAACCACCCATTCGACACTGGAAAAAAGATTAAACATCGGGTTCTCAACAGTACACCTTGAAAGTAGAGATATGCATTCAGGTGGGTCCATTGGGTTCCAATAAACCTCCATGTTACTTATTTTGGCCTATAATGTGTTACCACTGACGCACCAACCCGATTTAGGCGACAGTATGGATCCCGCCGCCGAGGGCTTTTGTAAAATGTCTCCGCTACTCCACTTTTGCGAGGCCCAATGTATGATATAAGTGCCTGAAATACATTATATGAATCCCATATGCACTATGGTAAATGGTGTGGGCCCTCATTCGCCCCCAACAATGGGCTTTTGAGGGTAGTCAGGATCCCTGTCAATTACCTTTTCGGGAAATCCTTGGAAATTAAATTCGTTGCGCACTCAAAACGGCACCAAAATTATCACAAATATGCTCAATCTCTTCGCAGGATTTGCGCCTATTGACTAGGGCCCACGAACCTGGGAAAAGTCCCTGTGTAAGATCGAATTTGCGCCCAAACCCCTTGGGTGGCCAGGATCCCAGCACGATATAGTACCTTGACCAAAAACTAAAAAGAAATTCGACTCAACTCATCACCGGACCCCGAATCAAACGGGGGCGTTCCGCCTGACAGTAACACTCGAAGAAGTGCAAAATTATCTTGAGCAGATGCCCACCGTGTGCTACGCGGTGGTTGTGTAGTCTAGGTAAATTTGAGCATCATGTGCATGAATATGAAAAACAACGACCACATCATCATCATCCCCTGGAATTCGGGGTAGAACAAATGTGCTTTTGAATTTCTGAGAAAAAAAGGATCTAGTGGGTGTGGCAAATTTTGATAGAAAACAGCGCAAAAAAATAGACGAGTCGCGAGAAAACTATCACCCGACCTCGAGTCGAACGCCTTCCGTTCGGCTTCAGTGTGACATTCTTGGGCGGACGCACACATGTGCTACTGGGATCCCGTATAGCTTATATTGTCCTTGAATTTAGGAGGGCAAAATATACCACTGGTCTGTCCGAATTCAGCAACCGAGAAAGTTGAGGAGGATTCAGAGGACCAGCCAAAAACATGGGACCTCTGGTTTAATTCCTGGAAAGTTTGAGTGGGAAGCAGGGAAATAGTTCGTTGAAAAAAGCGGACGTGTCTTCGGATAATTGAAGCTGTGGGTAGAATAGGACCTTGATTCCAAAAAAATGTGTCAATAGAAGCGTTGAAAATGCTTTATACTCACGTGGTCCAAATACCTGAACGACGAGTTTACTGAAGACAAATATTGACTACTGTATGGGTGTTTA